ATGCTGGTATTTGATCTGACTTGCTGAGATTCACTCTGGCCCGTCCATCACGGTGAGACTTGAGATGCTGTGACTCCCGAGGGAGGAGGAGGATGTGGGGCAGTTCATTGACCCTGGGAACTGTCACTCGACCCTTTGTCTTGGGAGGACGCGCTTCATGGCAAGAAGTATACTGCATGGCAAGAAGTATACTGCGTGGCAAGAAGTATACTGCGTAGCAAGAAGTATACTGCGTGGCAAGAAGTATACTGCATGGCAAGAAGTATACTGCCTGGCAAGAAGTATACTGCGTGGCAAGAAGTATACTGCGTGGCAAGATGTATACTGTGGCAAGAAGTATACTGCGTAGCAAGAAGTATACTGCGTGGCAAGAAGTATACTGCGTGGTAAGAAGTATACTGAGTGGTAAGAAGTATACTGCGTGGCAAGAAGTATACTGCGTGGCAATATCTTGAGATCTTGAGATAATTTCGGGGCTTAGTGTCCCCGCGGCCCGGTCCTCGACCAGGCCTCCACCCAAGAAGCAAGAAGCCACTCTAGAAGTAAAGAGTCCAGTGTTAGAGATAGCAAAGTGAGCAGCTAAGATATAGTTTCCTGCGAAGAATATTTGTAGAGCCAGTCCTTGCCAGAGGAAGATAACTAACTTAAACATCCAACTGTGATTCAAGCGAACCTGATGGGTTGGGACCAGTTTAACTACATCCAGAGTGTGCAGAGACCTCTAGTGGTGAGTGGTGCAGCATTGTGATGGCCGTCAGCATGAAAATGACCATGCTGATGGCCATTGTGATGGGCGTCAGCATGACCATGACTGGTCATAGGAATTGTATTGAGCGCAATGTAAAGAAGACAATATAATACAAATGGTTACAGATTCGCCAAGCCATTACGACTATATAGCATTGGGAAGCGGCTCAAGATAAGGATTTGGGTGGGGACGGGGGAAAGGAATGGTTCCCAACCACATGGACGGTCGAGGATTAAACGCCGACTTGCATGAAGCGAGACCGTCGCTCTACCGTCCACCCCAAGTGGTGGAGGTAGAGATAGGGAGAGATATCGTAGAATGGAAGAGATATCGTAGAAAGGGAGGGAGATCTCCATTTCTCCTCCTATCATTGCAATCAAGAGGTTTGCACCCACAATGAAAATATGCCATATGAACATAAATTTTAAATGTAAATTTAGGATTTTGTTTTTGTTTTTAAGACAATAGGTACATCTGCATTTGTGCAGCTACCTTAGACTATATGATAAGGAGTACAGTGTGTCAATAAAGCTAGTTACGTGTTGCTAAAAAAAATCACACAGATGGTTAGTCATACAGAGGCATGTGATATGTAGACTGCACTGGCAAACTCTGGGTGCATTATGATGATATCATCATCAACACGAGTGTGAATAAGGTAGAAAACAGAAATAAACGAGTGATAGTCTACGGACTGTGCACCACGTCATATTTCACTTACACAGAAAACGTGAAGAGTGTGCTAAGGAAGAGACACCCCCGACGCTCGTCCCATAACTTTCGAGAGAGGCACTAGGCCAGACTCCGACCTCCAATGACCGCATAAAATCACTTTTAATCCCGAGAAGTTTAATTAAGGGTAGCACCAAGCCACTGGCCTCCAATCCTGGATAGTCGAACAAACATTACATTCAGTTGAATATTTTTAATACAATATATCTAGCAGAATATAGAAAAAAACATTATTTTAATAAATACGATGATCGAGTTGTGTCAATCTTCAATCAGTCCACAGTAAATATCTTTATCTTAGATAAGATATCACACTTTAACCCATGTCCAGCGGACTGTGCTCGTGAGCACGTTCAGAGCCTCTGCGGTGTGTGCAGATCACGCTCCTGAGGGACATAACATCTGGCTGGAGATCAAGTCTGCTGACGCATGTCTGTTTCTGGACTGTCAGAGGTCTCTGGGAACAGAGTGGCGTTGTTTTCCAAAATTATCAAAGCACTTGGTGCCCACAGTCATGGATACTTCGATAATATGATTATGTGTATTTAAAATAGGGTTTGATTGCATGACCTTGAGGGAATCATTGGCTCTATTGGTCTATTTCGTGACTGCACTGCGATTCGTTATAATAGTGGCTGGGTAGCAAGTGAGACGGTGTTGTGAGATTCAATTTACTGAAAACATCTTTCGAATTATGAATCAAAGACGTCGAATAGAATGAAATATATATAATGTTTGAAAACGATATCTAAATATACACATTCCCTCATCCTAAATGTCCAGAGGATTAACAATTAAATAACAAGTTCATTTTAAAGCACTGATGATGAAATATTTTCTCCGAACCACGGTAATTTACTACTTTTACTAACTAGACATATAATTTTTAGGTATAACGTTTAAACATGAACATACTCTACCAGCCAGGTTGTGTATGTGTGTTTCCTTTCAAAGTTCTTTTACCATAATATTCATTCCAACTTTTGAGAGAGTTCCAATCATAGAACTTACAAACATTAATGCACATCCAATGTACAGTAATTATTTAGTCAACATTCTAAAATAGACTTCTGTAGCCAACAAGAAAATAAGCCAAAATCATACTTAAATATTTCAACGGTACATATATTAGTACATATATTGTTTTTATTATGAATATGATAGCGAATACCAGGTCTTGGAGGGCTTGAACTGGTTAAATTATGTCAAGTCAGGTCGGGTCAGGTTCTTCAGTTAAACTCCAAAATTTTTAGTGTGTCATTTACGATATTTTAATTATACAAAATATGATCTTTTTGGATACGAGAAATCTCTTTTTATGCTTGACCAAATAATTGCCATAAGAACTATATTTTTGATAGGATGGGTTGCCGTTGTATGTATGTGCTTTTGAAACTGTTATTCGAAAGTAAATTTTAACCAACCATTATATCTCCATTGATGACTTTTAGGAAACAAAGAATATGTCGATAAACTTCCTTAAACATCAGATATAACTCATCAGTACTAGAACCTAAAACGTAATCCATCAGTGTCAGATAATCCACGGTGCTAGAACCTCAGATATAACCCATCGGTTCTACAACCACAGATATATCTCATCAGTGTTTAAGACTCATGAGTCAACGCATTATCCATATATAACACTAATGATTGAGGTTCCTTGACACGCTGCAAGAGTCCTGGGTGATTAATAGCACACTAATTTCCCTCCAGATAACGCTTTGTTAATAAATTTATTATTTATATAACTTTTTGTATTAGTAATTATGGCAGGTATGGTAGTTGAAATAGTAGTAATAATAGCAGCAGTTGTACTAGCAACAGTAGTACTAGCAGCAGTAGCACTAGCAGCAGAAGTACTAGCAGCAGTAGTACTAGTAGCTATTGTACTAGCAGCAGCAGTAGTACTAGCATAAGTAGTAATAATAGTTGTATTAGTGTAGCTTATTGGAGGCGTTGTGCAGTACTCGTGACGATGGTGCTCGACCAAGGCCAGGCAGAGACCAAGACCTGACAAATACAAGGCATTTAGGATAGCAACAGGAGAAGGAGCCCCCTAGCCTCTGTACATTACAGATTAATAGTGAGACAAATATGCGAGTACACATAACTAAAGCTTGGCGAGTGTAACACATTTGAACAAAGAAAAAAGTATATTTACCATATTGAAAAATACCAAAATAACTTTCAGGCTCCTTGATAAAGAGGACTGGAAGACATTATTTATCTTATGTAAGACGAGCACTTGAAATGGAGCTCCGACTTGGAGTCTCAAATAACAGATAAAATAGTTCATAAACATTTTACAAGACTCAATACTGATGGGACACATTAATAGCGAAAGTCGGGGAGGATATCAGCAAACATCGCTGAAGGCAAGAATAAATAGGGAAAAATATATCTTTGTTGAAGATATTGAGTAGATTTCCCAGTGGATAAAAAGACAATATTCGGAATGAATACACAAAGGCAATTGAGGCAAGTTCAATAAGCTATTTTAAAAGTCAGATAAATTTAAGGATTTATTAATATCTGGAATAGCATTTTAAGGGAGTTAATGTTTGACACCACATCAGCACATCTAATTGACCAGTAGGTAGATAACTAATGATCGTAGAACTACACACGAGACTGATCGTTTTCTTTGTTTATTTTATACTAAGAAAACGGAAATTGTTTAACGCTAACCATGGTATAAGTGGCAATGCGTTGTCTAATAATTTTTGGCTTCATATTGTCAATCACGACGGAGACAGCAAAACCAGTCAAATGCTACAGTACCTAATATAAATAAAGGCAAACATTAAGTACTATAGTACTGAGGGGTGACATACAGAAACCTGTATGATGACATACAGGGACCTAATGGTGACATACAGAGACCTAATGGTGACATATAGGAACCTGTTATACCGAAAGATGATTATTATAATAAAAATTCAGTTATTTATGTCCCCTTCATCAATAATTCAAGTAGTCAGAACGAAGTAATTACAACAAAAAGCTATCTAAAGTAATTTGACCCACCTACAATAATAGCCAAGATGAGGCAGAGAAGAGAAAATGCTGGAAAGGACCAATAATGATTAACGAAATTAGCCAGAATAAGCCATAATAGGGGAGGGAAAGAGTCTAGATTTTACACTTTTTTGTAGGATAATAAGGAATGTACCAAACCACACAGCTTTAGCGGTTCTAACTCATTAGTGTTTTATTAGACCAGGAAAACTCACCATTCATGAATTGTGGAATAACACATCCTGTAGTTGACCCAATTATGTGTTATTAAAGCGAGTGAAATATGACTGAACATATTGAAGCCTAGGTCAGGCGCTTAGTGTTCTAGAGAAGACATATCGTAATGACCTTAGACTAGTGAAACGACGACGGTAGTGTATAGTGAAAGTAGTTATAGTAATGACAAACTAAATAATGTTATATTTCATATTTAATCGTGATTTAAAAAAATTACATATTTTCCCGCGAATGTCTCCAACTGTGGCAGACTAAATTGATGCAAATTCTTAGTATAATTACATGGGCTGAAAGTTGTTAGCCATAACAGCGTGACACATTTCAAGCAAATATCGATAACCATGTCGTATCAGAAAAGTTCTAATAAAAACAAGTTCTAATGAAAACAAAACCAATCCTCCTTTGTTTTAACTATTGTGTTTTCTCTTCATAAAATCATGATATCAATTTTTTTATATGTACAATAAATTATTTCATCTTTGCCCACACGAAGACTTCTATAAGCTGCAGATGATCAGCAAGTTCTGGAGTCACACGCTGGATGCTGATGAACCTACCGACCACCCCGTCTTTCCTGAAGCAGTAGAGACTACCGAGGGTCGTGCTGTATGGACCTTTGTACGTGGAGAAGAGCGTGTAAGATGAGAAGTTTCCGCTAGCCTCAAGTGTGGCGCCCACACGGATCTGAGAAATAGAAATCTATTAATAATAACTCGATTTTTTTTAATTTTACAGTGTTTATGAGACAATAGGAACCAATTCATATAAATGTTTTTCTTAAGAATTGTCTCCTTAAGCCGTTTAAAGTTTGATGACATAGGAATATAAGATTAAATGGAACTGAAGAAGGCTTATATTAAACCTTCAAAGAACTTTAATTAACAAGTGCAATAGGTTAAGTTTTTGTGTACAGCTGTTAATATTTCGAATAATCCATCAATAGCAGCGATAAATAACTTTTGAATGACGAATTTAATGAGCCAAAAACATACATCTGCTACTGCACATTCTTTACAGAATGTTAACACCAACTGCTGTGGTTCTTAATTTATAAGTTTGTGAAGAAACTGTAACTGAGAGACAACAGAATAAGCGATGATGTAGGAGACAGAGCTACGGGTTGTAAGCAGATTATAAAGTTAGAGTTTATGATTATTCACGAGGATCACTGCTACAGTCAACACTTCTGGAGATAAATAGTGTATTCTCTTGATAATTCTACCTAACACCTTTCCTTTGGTAAATCGATGAGTGTTGTTTTTATATCTCTCTCTAGTCATCCCTTCTCTTGGTTGATGCCTCTCTACCTTCATTGAAGCAACTGATAATTATGATGATAATATGTTTAATTACATAAACTTTAATATTTGACTAGTAGACTTACCTCAATGTCGTGGAATCTTTCAGAACAACAATTTTGTCGCGTATAGATGTTGAGGTAACTGATAAGGCGAGCCTGGCCGAGGTCTACCACCCACCAAGGGTAAAGGATGGTATCAGCATTTTCAGACATGCTGTCGACGTCCAATCTGCCATCCACAGCAAAACTACCAACCTTCCTGTGAATTAATTACCAATATATCTTTTTTTAATAATAAACACAAAACAATAGCCACTTATCCATAAAAATACAAAATCACATTCACTTTTGAATCAAACAGATACGCATTTTCAACAAATAATAATATTTACCAATCCCAAGTGGCGCATGTGTATGTCGTCTTAGAGTAAGCGATCTCCTCCAGCGTCTCGTTCAGGAGAGACTCGACGTAGGTGACGGCTTGGGAACTGGAGCCGAGTCCTTCCCCTGAGAGAGTGCACGTCCCCTCTGTACATGGTAAATTTATTGCCCTTTCAGTTCTTGTATGTTTGTGTAGCTTAACGTGTTTGTGTGTGCTAGTATGATTGTGAATGTAAGCACATTCAGACAGGTGTTCGCGTAAGTTACTCGCCAAATAATTTTCTTTTAGAGTGAAATAGTTGCAGAAGTATGGTTGGTAGTTTTAGTTATATTATGAGACGTGTAGCAACAGACTACTCGAGACGAAATTGTGCGAAGAAATAATAATATGGTGTCCAACTTAAAATTATTACAACTAGAAGTTCTATTGAGCTTTCAGCGGAAACGTCATTACCTTCCCCAGAGTGCCAAGAGCTATCATGGGCAACTACGATTGTGGCCTCCATGTGGGAGACTTACAATCATCATGCGATTTCAGTATAACTTATAGTTCTCATGCTTCTTAAGATCGTCGTCGGTTAATAGGTAGTGCGTGTGTCTAGGGAGCCGCCGGTGCCAATTCGGTTAGATACATTTCAACGTCTGATAAATAATATGATTTATTAGAATAATAACAAGAATCGACTTGAGAATGGTCCAGGACGGGCCGAAACGTCGTCGTCCCTTCACCTTCTAGTGTGTGGTCTGGTCAACTTACTTTAGCCACGTTATTGTGACTCATCGCCTGCTAATAAATAATTTTATTAGACGTTGAGATGTAAGTCTCGTCTTAACCACACACTCAGACCTTGACAAATCACTCAGGGGAATGCGAAAGACTTTATGTATTTTCTTTACATAAATTTCATAAATACACAAGTGTGGGGTTTTTATCATAAATATATTATTATTATTATTAAAACTCTATTGATATTTTCACAACGCATTTCACACTTGACCTCATGAAAATAACATAAGGGGTGTCTATAATAGCTAGTATTTAACTCTAACATTTAGCATTTAACTTGGTCCTACGTCCGTTCTGAACCCCAGACCATTTCTCCTGCAAATGTGGGCGGGGTTATTGAAAAAGGTCGACGGCAATTGAGCATTTTTTGCGTTTTCATTTACATCTTATATCGATAGCTTTTACTCCCTCCTGTCAGTGTGATACACTATATTATAACACACTGAACACACTGCATGTATCTCTCTGGCTCTTCTAAGTGCTGAGGTTCTGTTAAGTGCCTCCCTTTGTTCTGGACATTCTCTTAAGACACAGAAAATATGTTCATATGTTTGTGAATATATGTATCGATGCGTATGTCCTCTCTGAATTATCTATATTGAAGCATACTAATATGATGCTACATATCAGGCATCAATGCTAAGAAAAATGTTTTTCTCAACTTAGGTATTACTCATTTATTATTACTTACCATCATAGGTGTACTCGAGGGCTTTCTTGTTGTAGCAGTGGAAAGCGCAGATGATTTCCGAAACTGCTGAGTACGTCTGATGGTCTGGTGTCCAGTACTGGGAGACACACTCAGACACAAACCCAACAGGCACCTTAGACCCTAGCGCACCCGCGCCAATCAAAAGGACCATCCATGCTTCTTTCAAATAGCCCATGGTAGCAGAGTTCACTGGTGGCAGAGGAATTCTGCAGGTGTAGCAACACTATCTGCATGTAAGTGAGGCAGCGTGTATCCGGCGCTGGTGACGGACCCTGAGTGAGGGGGGGTGTAACGGCCGTCTCTAGTGATCGAAGTCACTAAGGGCCCCTAAGTACCCTTTCGTTTAGTGCACAGCTTGACGTGATACAGAAGCTTTGTTTAACCTGTGTTCATGGAGACTGTCCGTGTTGCCAGTCTGTACTCTGCTAACATTTAATTTTGTATCTATTACAGTACAAATATTAAACTGCTTACTACGACTCTAAATATTCTGCGTATTAATATAAATCATGAAGTAATTTAAAAAAAAATGTAATTGTGCTGAGAAGGGAAGAGAGCTTAAAATTGTACTCAATTTGCACAAACCATTCAGTCGTCACTACTCTTGGTTTATAACTCATGCTCGAATGAAGGTGCTAAAAGTGACTTATTTAAAATTTTATAAACAATGAATTCCTGCCTAAATAAACAGTGGATTCCCATTGACCAATAAGAGGCAGCTCTTATTGGCCAAAACGAGACAGCTCAAGTTACATCCACCCAAACCCCATTAATGTCTATTAATATACGCTTCAAACCAATCCCCGATCCCACGTTTATTGTCTTATGAGGTAAGTTACTCCAGATATAACACCTTTGATTTCCTAATTCGGAGAGATAATTCATAATTAATTTTTTGTAATTTCTTGTAAATGGATGTGATAAGATGAACGTCAGAGATAGCAAAAGTGGCCTCGTAAATATATTAAATTAACTCAAATTGAACTATGAAACATAACTGAAAAATAATATATTAATACTATGATTAATATCGGTCATTCTGCTGTCTGAGAAGGAATTATAATCTTGGGGCATGGAAAGAGCTTTTTGAATTTTACATAGTGGTCAATTAACTTCTAGTTAATTAACTTCTAGTTAATTGACTACAGTTAACCCTCAGAGTTAATTAACCAATTAACAAGTAGACAATTAACCTCTACTCTGAATTCAGTTTTTACACTGTAATCCATCTATTATTTTATTCTTGAGCAAGTAATAGGTCTTGAAGGCTAACAGCTGTTATGTGGGCTCTAATGTTATATAATGTTACGAATTGTCCTATAAACGTTGTGCCTGGCTTGGGGTGTTGGCCCATGATGATCTGATAGTCTTCTGTTTGGGTCATCATTTCCTACACTAACAGCATTTATTCCCTAACTGCTCCAAGATGAGTTAATGAATGGATTTTAATGAAAGTGAAATGTTATCTACAAGCTTGTTTTCTTATTTAGATATCAGCCTCCCCAAGTTACTTGCAATGGATCAGTAATATATAATGTTTCATTAACGTTAGTGCACATGAGTTTGGCTCTCATTCTATGCCAGCAGTTAGAACTCATTAAAATAGTCACCGATACTCATCATTTATTGAACAACATCACTGCTAAGCTAAACTAATCCCTACTAACCTATAATTTATTGAAGACATCTGTGTATTACAATATTCGGGATAATGTTCCACTCAATACTCAACAGACACGTTTATCTTCACACAATTGACGGCTTATCTACACACAACTTCATGGGGCCTGACGGCTGAGTGGACAGCGCTCAGGATTTGTAGTCCTAAGGGTTCAGGTACAGTCCCCGGCCGAGGCGGAAACAAATAAGCAGAGTTTCTTTCACCCTGATGCACCTGTTAACCTAGCAGTGAATAGGTACCTGGGAGTTAGACAGCTGCTACGGGCTGCTTTCTGTGTGTGTGTGTGTGTGTGTGTGTGTGTGTGTGTGTGTGTGTGTGTGTGTGTGTGTGTGTGTGTGTGTGTGTGTGTATGTGTTTGGAATAAATAAATAAAAAACAAAAACAGTCGATTGATTGAAAGTTGAGAGGCGGGCTCAAAGAGTCAGAGCTCAATCCCCTGCAATTACAACTAGATGAGTACAACTAGGTGAGTACAACTAGGTGAGTACAACTGACTGAACAAAGCGTCACCAACGCAAGCGTCCAGCTGCACCATTGTCACCACTAGAAGTGTCATACACTTACGAATTTTCCCTCCAACTGTCATCAGTTCCCACCATCTCTCCCGTCCAAATGTTTCACACGGGCCAGTGAGATAATCCAGGAACCAACATTAGCCAATATTTTCCCCATTTTCTCAAGTTCCTCTATTTCCTCCTTCAGTATATATTAAACAAAAATAATTAACCTTTATTATATAAATCATAACATAAAACAATAAATAATCAAATAAAGCACTGGCTATATATATACATCGTTTTCACTATAATCAAATTTTGCTTGTAATATCAGCAAAATAGGATTGCCAGTTCACACACAAATTTACGAGAAAATCAATCACACTGGTTCACCTGGAGTGCCACTTGAAGGCCATTAGGTACTCAGGACCTAAACACGTGTTAAGTGGGAATAACTGAGGAATGTGTATACGGAGTCTGTAATTGACAGCAGTAAAGACCATGAGACAGAGGGGCCACTAATGCAACCAAACCAAGGAACATTAGTCACTATAAATTAAAATTAATGATCTCAATCAAAGCCATTAATTTCAACAGCAATCAACGGTATAGCTTTAATAAGACTCTATGACTTCAATCAAAAACTCTAAAATAACCCGACAATAATATAATAACATTATATTAAAAGTTTGTCAAGTACATGCTACTTAAAAAGCTAGATTTCATGAAATAGGTAAGTGGGACTGCCAGGAGACTGGCTTACCTGAGAATGTATTTCTAATATTAGTAGTGTCCGCGTAGTCAATACGCCAAACCCCCGTGGCGTAGTGGTAAGACGCTCGCCTGGCGTTTCGCAAGTGCTTTGGCCTGGGTTCGTATCCTGGCCGGGGAGCACTTACTGCGTGCAAAACTTTAACTGTAGTGTCTGTTTAACCCAACAGTAAAATGGGTACCTGGTTGTTAAACGATTTCACTGGTCGTATTCCAGGGTATATTAGGATTAAGGACCCGTCCGAGACGCTATGCATGCTAGTGGCTGTACAAGAATGTAAGAAATCTTGTATATATAAATAATACAATATATAAGTAAATAAAATAATATTTGTATTGCGTAAAGCAGTGTGACTACGCCATTACCACAGACCATCCTCCACTAGTATTTTTCGTTACTAGTTAAGCTCTACTTACTAGGAACATGTACACTGAGAGGAGTATTATGCTTTTCGGTGTATATAAATTAAGAGTTTATTTTCTTTCTGGACCAGTTTCAGGACTAAAGTATACTTAATGATTTATCTGTAAGTTTTTTACCCAATACCACGTCTAGCACATCTCATAATCACTTTACCTTTCCTCCCAATGCAGGACTACCTTCCCTCTCTTTCCACATTCCACCCTCCCCATTTTCTGACTCCAACCTCCTTCACCCATTCCACTTTTTCACCTTAATTTCCCACTCCATATCTCTTATCCTTGCCCACTCCATCCCTCCCATTCAGTTACCTACTCTAACCAATCACTTTCCCTACGAAAATTTACCCTTCTACTGTGCTACTAACTCTAGCCCTGTCCTTTACCTTCTCACAAATACCTTCTTCATCTCCCTCAGTACCTACATCACCCGTTATCTGCCCTATCTCTGCTCTCCCTTAACCACACCACAACTCCCTTCCTTTACACCATCCCCTAAAACACACAACAACCTTTCCTCTTACCATCATCACCTCCCCTCTCCTATCCTACACCATCCCTCCCCCTTCTGTACATACTCCATCCCCTCCTTCATTACTCACACCACACTGACGTACCTATACCCAAGCCATCACTGTTCTTTTCTTACCTAATCAAACCCTACACCTACCTCCCCCCTCTTACATATTTCAACCCTTCCTCTCCCCTCTCATATGTATTCCATCTATTTCTTCTCTTACATGCAGTACACTGTCTTATCTCCTAATGTCTCATCCTCTCTCCCTCCTTGCAATGCTCTACTCCCTTCCACCTCCTTTTCCCACACCAATCTTTCTCATCACGTGTCAACTTTACTCCTTCCCCCTTCCATTCTAATCCACTTCACCAGTCCTACCATCCCTTCCCGTGACTTTTAACATACTCCCATCCTTCTATCCACCAATCAACCCTGCCAACTCCACCTCTGATTCTTCGATATAAGCCTAACATGTTTATATGCACTGGCTGCCTGTCCCGATACAATTAATTATTATTAAAAAAAACTCTTCTTAATCACAGTCAAACGATTTTTCATTAGTTACTGCGTTTCTAGTCAAAGAGAATGAATATGCAGTTTACTTCAAAGAAAATACATTTTTTGAAGGGATACCCAAGCAAAATATTATTATGTATGTTTCGGATAATTTCTCATTACGTTTTAGGGGAATTTCGTTAAGCCGGTAATCCTGTTTGAACTTTGACGACGAGCAGACGTCTAGATATCGGGTCTGCCTGGAAACCGCCAGGACACGTCACGAATTTTGAGCAGTTTGATGCAACACCTGGCGAACTTCGCTTGACTGAAAAGTTGATAGTTTTTTTTTCGCTTTTACGGTTTGATCTTCTGGCAGAAAATGTGTCTGGCGTCGTCTTGGTCGAGAGGTGCCTGGAGCTGGCGATTCTTGACTGCTCCAAGTGAGTAATCTGGCCGTGGTGTACGTACGGTTCCTCTGTTGACGGAGGTCCCTGGCAGACTTTTTTGTTTTTTTGCTTGATTGGGCTATTGATAAGCTAGAGTTATAAAACATTAATTATATTTACTGCTAGGTGATCAGGTGCATCAGGTGTAAGGAAATGTGACTGAACTCCTAATGTAATAATCATCCAGTTGCAAAATTCGTTCCCGGGACCTTTTAGTTGTGAAAAATATAATTTTAGTGACGTCAAGCTGTCCTCTGGAAAACGAGAGTTCAGCTGGCATGACTAAGTGTTCCTCTTATCCCAAAGCATTTGCCAATTTACTCAGCAGTTCGTGAACCAAATATA